ACTTATCTGTCTATCTATCATGGCGCGGCCCTGAGCCTGCGCGCGTGCGGCGATGCAGGAGGCGGTGCAGTGCACTGTGCCGTTTCGGGGCACACATGGAGGGGTCGACGCGCCCACTGAGCAGGGAGTCCTTGAAGCTGCATGCCGCGGGGCAGGGCACGCGTCCCCTGTCCACAAGGGTGAGACGCGCCCAGCGTGCAATTACCCGTCGAGCGGAAACAAGAATTGGGAAGTAGGGTAGGCGCACGCCCTGTTGCAGGGTGACGACGCGGTCCAGGTTCACAACGCACACGCCAGCTCCCTGCGCAGTGGGCAGCAGTCACCCCACTCTCCTGCCAATCCCCGACGCCTTGCCTGTTGCCTCTGTCACGGGGAACGCCAGCGGGCAGCAGCCGCGGCGGTAGCACGCGCCTGAGCTCGCGCATAACTATCCCAGCGCTGTCGCCGCCGCCGCCGGGCGCTGTGGGGTCAGGTGCGACGTTTGCGCTGCCCCCGCCATCTAGCAGGGCCTGCAGGTGTAGCTGCTCCAGGGCTGCAAACACCTTGGGGGTGGAGGGCCTGCAGGAGCAGGGGAGCCGGCAGAGGGAGGGGCTGACTCTAGTTAAACCCATGGTGGTGGACAGGAGGGGAGCCCGGCGGCCAGTGTGGCCAGGTGTAGGTGCGGGCGAGGAGCGGTAGCTGCCGCCGAGGCCAGCTCTGGCCATTCATGGCACCCAAGCCAGGAGAGGGCAATCCTTTGGGGCCGCCTCCACGCCAGGGATAGCGCCAACAGGCGGGCCACAGCTGCGACCGCCGTCCGTCGCATCAACAGCGCGGCCACAGCGGCGCCGCGCGTACCGACGCGCCCGCGAGCGAAAACGCGTGCAAAGGCTGCTCGCAGCAGCCACACACCGCGCGCTCAGCCGCAGGTGTAGCGGGGTCAGCAGCGGGGCGTCCCAGCAGAGGTGCGGCCAGCTTCACCGCCGACCTGGCTGCTGCTCGGCCCCTGTAGCTGAACCGCGTCCCGCCCTTCGCCACGCCCGAAGCAATCTTTTCACACGGCTTCAACGGCCCCGCCTCCACCACCACCGCCGCCGCCAAGCCGCTCAGCGCCCGCCAGAAGAGCGCTTTTGCGGACAGCGCCGCCCTGCCACTCGCGCTGCGCGCCCGAGGCTGCGAGGCGTCAGCAATTGCAGTCACACTGCAATCTCAAGGAAGCCGCAGCATTGCAAGCCGCATGCGTCTGCTGTCATGGCAGAGGCGTGTGATGTTTTGTCATTCGCCCCAACCCACTGCATGCGATGCAACCATGTTGATGATGGTTACAAAAGCAGGATAGTCAACCGCCCACGAACAGCTCTAGACGAATGAAAGGGAGAAATTGGGCAAGCAAAGGTCAAAGCAACGCTGAAACGGTGCGCTGAGGGTAGGCATATCGATCCTGTCATGCATCCGCGAGGCGGTACGACACGACCGTGTCCACCTTGTGCACCTGTTGGAGGGCGCAGGGTCACACGGCGGACATACGTACGTATCGCGATTGGTGCTGTGCCCATTCGTTGTTCCCGTCCGTGCGGGTCTGTCATGAGCCTGTGGCCAAGCGCGCAGGTTTTGACTCGTGCTGACCGGCAAAGCTCGGCAACATTGCCCTGCCCGCATTGGGCGCGCACCTTTGTCGTGAAGGACCGCAGCTTCACGTCTGTCGCATTTGTGATGTAGCGAGGGTCACTCTCCTCCCTTTGGGGGGATGAGGGCGGGCGCAGGTGAGGCAGTAGAGCGAGTGGCTGGACAGTGGGGCGAGGTGGCTGGCGCCGACTGGGTAAAAGCACCGCGCGAGCGCACATGAATACACAAGTGCTCGCCTGCACATGCATGCCTGCGCGTGCATGTGCGTGTGCGTGCGCGCCAGAAGCGCGTGAGCAGGGGCCTTCCAGCAGCATGGACAATCGGAGGGTTTGCAGCAGACGGCGGGCGCCTTGGGGCAGTTGGTGGTTGCTGTGATTGGTGCACACTGAGCCCTTGGCCCTAAGGCGCACCACTCGTCGGGAACGGACGACTTGGTGTCCGTGTAGACCAACAGGTCAAAGGTGCCTGGGGTTGAGGGTTGGGGGTTGGGAGTTGGAGTGGTGAGGAAAGCGGGGCATGGGGATGCATGGGGATGCGAGACGGCAGCGTTGCAGCCAATACATTGCTGCTGAAGGGGTGCGACCGTGAGCACTGTGCGGCACGAGTTGGGTTGCCGTCGCCATGCGTGAGGGCGCAGCTGCGTGCAGCCCTTGCGCGCCGTGCTTCACCCACAGGGGTCCTCCAGCAGCGGCAGGAAGGTGATGCTGGCCGTGATCTGACAGGGATGAAAGGTGCGGCCAAGGGGATCGTGCGTCAGCAGAGGGGCTGGTTGGGCAGACAGGCGCGGACGCTGGGCGTCACCTTTGGGCAGCAGCAGCCGCGACATCTGCCCAACCAAAAGTGCAGCGCCGGTAGGGTTGCAAACAGCTATGTCTCCAGTGCCCCGCCACCCTGTTGGCCTGTCGCCCCCGCTTTTGGACCGTGTCACCGCTCTTGGGACGCTCGTTGAACCAGGAGCGATGCATTTGCTCACCTGGCGGATGATGGCCTGGATCTCAGCCGTGATCTCCTTCTCAGGCTTCTCAGGCGCCGCCCTGCATGTGTCAAAGCGCAGCAGGCTCTGCATCACGTCTGCGGCTAGGCCAAACCATCACTGCCTCCCTGGTCGGTAAGGATGCGCCAAACCTGTTGGGCCTGGCGAAGCCTGTGAGTGTGGACAGCCCCTGTGCATGGCGTTCGTAGGCCTGCCGCTTGCTGACAAGCTACCCGCTGCACACTCTGTTGGGCGTAGACAGTGGAGGAATGCACACGGTCCAAGCAAATGCACAACGGGGGCCCCGCCCTGCCCAGCTCCGCTCACCCTCCGTTGAGCGTGGCCTCGTCTGTCTGCACCTCGAACGTCCACCGCTCCAGCACCTCCCCCGTGAATGCGCTGGTGACAACCAGCACCAGCCGCTGCAGCAGGCCCTTCTCCAGCCAGTCTGTCCGTCGCAGTAATGGGCCGTGGCGGCGCCGCGTAACCAATGCTGGCGCACGGGGGTGCTGGTTGGCGGCCACGCGGCAGGTGCACTCAGTGTGTTTGAGCTGCTGCACGTCCGGTGATGGGACGCGCTGCACAACGCCAATCCCTTCGGCGCTGCCACCGCCGGTCCCCGCCCTCCCGTCAGCCCCGCCCCTACCTGTCATCTGCTTTGTGACGTTTGTGAGGTAGGCCAGCAGGCCGTCGTCCTTTGTCACCATCATGGCCAGCCCATAGTTCTTCTTCTGCTGGAAGGTTTCCTGCGGGTAGATACCCCGCTGGTACAATATGCTGCGGCCGCAGTCGCGATTTGTAATGCAAGGCACAGCGCCGTGAGTGCAGGGGGCGCTTGCACAGCATGGTGCTCATAGCACGAGCAGTGCCGCTGCCGGGCACGGCAGGGTGCCGTTAGGGCGGGCGCAGCGCAGATGGTTCGGAACCAGCACAGCTGGTAGGTTGCAGTGCACTGCACCCATATATGCTCCATACAAAGCGCACGTTATCACCTATTGACGGCGTAGTTGAAGAACTCTGCGACGATCTGTGCCGAACCTCGCAAGCTGATGGTATTGCGCTGCTTCACTGCCTGCGAGGCCATCTTACTTGTGATTATGCTATAGCACCTTTTACCTGAGATAGGGCCACGCGCTTTGATCTAGCAATTTGAATCCCTCAACATCAGCCTGAGGCACGCAATCGAAGCTTGAATTCGATGACGTTCCAAATTGAAGGTTGTTTATAGCCTGCTCTACTATACCGTAGGGATGCATGCAGTCAATCGTCTCGCCTGTCATCAGAGTCACCAGGTGTCTCGGACACAGGTACTCTACTGCACGCCGCCTGCAAGCCAAACAGGCCAGGGCTACCATGAGTGAGCCCATACATTGGTGGGGGGATGAATAGCTGGCAGGATGGAATGTGTTGTGGGGCGCATGCGGAAGGGTCTGAGTGCAGCAGGTTGCCGATTGGCTTGTTGCTGCAACATGCGCACGCATGCGTGTCACCTGGCTCTGAGTTTGTAGCGCCAAGTTCCCCCTGCGTGACAGCCATGGCCCAGCCACATCAACGCCTGCATGTAGCAATGATATTGAGACATTTCACCCACCGCTTGGTTGGACCCTCCGCTCGCTGCCACTGCAAACCTGGGCGGGGTGGGCTTCTGCACGTCGAAAACAGGAGCCTGGGTGGTGATCACCTGAAGCTTGCTGCAATGATGCTGTCCTGCAGCGGTGCTGGACACAAGCACAGTTTGTGCACTCGCAGCAGATTTGCGCAGCCGCCTTCAGGCGGCACAACCTGTGTACAGTATTGTGTAAGCGCGCCCTCCAGAGATGCAGCATGCGTTTGACGCAACTCTGCAGCCGGGCACCATGGCCTGCTTGCGCTGCTGTGCTGCTGGAGGCCACAGTACAATCACATCCTGGCAGCACGGCGTTATTGTTACATTGGGTCAGCGACTAGCTGATTCCCCAGCGATTGATGGCCATTTGCGCGCACAAGCTGCGTCCACACAGCAGCGAGCCAAGCTGCTGCATGCAAGTGATGGGTGTCGTGGCAAGGAAGAGTACAGAATACATAGCTTGAGATGCAAGAGCAGCAGCGTGTGAAAGTCCAAATAAGGTGCTGATGAGTGGAACCACCAACGACATCAGCAAGAGCCGCAAGAAAGAAGATGACGTGCTGGCAAAGAACTGACAACCAGATAGAGTGCTCACAGCAGACTGTCACCAACCAAACTGAGTGTGAGGTCGTGGTTGATATAAAAAGCGGCACCCCTGGCCGCAAGCATGTAAGGCGTGGCCAATTGAGCGGCTTGGCCACCTTACCCCTGGTGCGGAGAGCGGCCGGCAGCTGGGTATTTGTCAAGCCCCAAACGGGCCCGCCCAGCCTGCGCACACGGCAACGCCCCGATGATCAAGCCAAAGCTCGAGCCACCGACCAGCAGTCATGAGCTGGGCCGCAGAGCCTGCGAAGCGCCTTCAAGCGCCCTGCCCGCCATCTCAGCAGCGCGGCGATGGGCCGCCCGGCATCACGGGGACGTGGGCGTACTCGGCAGCCGCCACCTCCGCGAGGCGGCCCGGAAAGCCCGCCATGATCTTACGCACCCGCGCCTCGGCGCCGGCCTCGACGCAGCGCCGCTGCAGCTCTGCCGCCAGCTCCTCCCTTTGAGCAGCAGTGAACCCAATCTTCCCCATGCTGGCCGCCTCCCGCAGCAGGGGCAACACCTGGATGAAGGACAGGCATTGGAGCAGGCACAAGGCGGCGCTCAGTGAGGCACGTGGTGAGGGGGCAGTAGCGATGCTGTGAAATTTACGCGCAACGCAAACGCAGGCGAGTGTCTTGTGACACAAGTGGGCTGGAAGCGAGAGCCAGCGCGCACTTTATCTGCGAGGTACGCCGCATCACCATCAGCTCTCGGCTGAAACATGCATGCACGCCTGCGGTGCTCGCCTGCTCGGTGGGGTTGAGGTCCGGCGAGTAGGGCGGCATCCGCAGCTGCGGCACCCCCGCGTCCACGGACGCGCGGAGTGCCGCCTTAGACGTGTGCTGGGGCGCTCCGTCAAGGAGCAGCACAAACCGGAGCTTGGTGCCAGGCTTGAACTTCTGGGGCCTTTGTGTGTCGACGCTGGGCATGCAGTGGCAAGGGACAGGCAGACGGCGTGCCACCTTATGAGCTTGTGGGCACAGACAGGAGCGTGCGGGGAGCCAGCAGGACCAGGAAGCCGCGCATCCGTAGCAAGCGCACTGAAGCCGTGCCGTTCCACCGCTTGTACAGGCACAGGGCTGGTGAGCAGCATGCATTTGCAGCATCGTAAATCAAACAAGTAATGCGCTTGGCCAGAAAGCCGCACAACAGGTCAGATGAAATTTCGCAACGGCGCCGGCTCACATGTTGACGAGCTGCAGCACGCCGTCCGGCACAGTGCCGCCCACAACCAGGGCGCCCCCGGGGTTGGCCTGGTCCGCGAGCTTGGCCAGCACCTGCATCCACTCCTTGGAGGAGTAGTTTGACTCCCCTGCGCCGTTCATCGGCGGCAGCACAAACAGCATGAGGCTGCCCGCCGCAGTGATGGCGGCGCCGACATGAAGCGTCACGTTCTCGTAGCCCGGCCCGCCCTGCTTCCTGACCTCCACCTGCACGCCCGGCAGAGTGTCCCAGCACACCAGCTCCGGCATCAGGCTGGGCAGCAGCCCCTGCGTGCCGTTGACCCACTCGCGGCGGATGTCGGAGGGCGAATCCTCCTCGCCGACAAATGGCACCTGGTCCTCACCTCCAGCTGCTGCCAATCTCTTGACGCAGTCTCTTACGTCCTGCGCCCACAGAAGGAGCGATGTGCACGTCCACAGTAGGGTTTGCAGAGGTGGTACTATTCCTTGGCATCGAGATGGCTTGGGCGCCTGCAGGCACCTGCTGCCGCGCCCAAATGCACGTTTGCACCCGGAAACCCCCAGCACGTCCATGTGCCCACATGTGCGCCCACCGCCAGCCACACAAGCTCCTGCCTCACCTTGAGGGCCCGCGAAAAAGTGCAGGGATCGAACTCGCGACCGATGGCCTGCTCGTATGCTTTCCTACTGATCTCCTTCTTGTTAGTGATGGCGCCCCCGACGACGACCACTTTGGACAGCACCCATCGCATGGCGTTCTGCCTTTCTTGAGACTGTGACGGGCCCGTTTTCGGGCGAATGACGCCACGGCGCACTCCCAGCGGCTTGTAAGCGGGACGAGCCACACGACGCCCCAACCGCACCCTGCCCGTCATGCAGGACCATGCTTGCGCAGCAAGAAAGATCAGCAAGCTGATCATCCCCCCCTTCCTGGTCATGCTGTGTGTTGCAGGCCCTGCGTTTTGAGGTGCGGTGCACCTCATGAGTTACTGTCGCTATGGCGGTGTACGCTTGCTACGCGCACGCAGATAAGAGGTGCCCGTCCAACATTCCCAGTCGAAAGAGACAAGCAGAGACACGCGGAAGCCTGCTCACCGGCTGAAGCAAGGAATCTCGGCTACAGCCCCACAGGTGGGAGTTGTCGGAAATGAGGCAAACAACCCTCGAGTGGAGGGTTAGAATGTGCCGTGGCAAAGCATCAAGCAGCAGCGTTTCGTGCCAGTATCTTTTTAAACTCCACACAATGCCAAGGACGTTTGCGAGGCGTTCTCAGCGGTAGGGTTTCGGCCCACTGTGTACTGTGCAGACGGACGGGTGACCGTGTTGTGTAGCTTCCTGTACTGCGACAGTAATCTTTTGTTCAAACCGTCTCAGATGCTGGACTTATATGTACGTGCACCTGGCGCTGCTGGCTGGACTGCCGGTGCCTGCGTGGTTGGGTCCCCACAGTGAGCCACATGCCAGTCGCAGCACGCATGTTGCACCACCGGCAAGGGTGGCCTCGACAGCTGTCAAGACATCAACAACGATGCAACTGGCTCGTGGAGTCGTGCAGAATCTGGGAGACACCAGGGTGCAGGGGGTGGAGCGCTTGAGCCCATGCGCCTGCAACAGTATGACCGCTGCTGCGGGTAGGGGCAGGGTCTGCATCCACCTTGACCTTGGCGAAAATCCTCGCATCATGGATGATCCAATTGGCCGTTATCAGGCTGCGCCTTTGTTCGCACGCATACATGCTAGACATATTGCGCAAGGATGTCGGTGGTGGGGAGGACCAGGGCAGTGTTTCTTCCTCTTCGAGGCCCACGTATACACGCTCCCACACCCAGGTGCAGTCCCTGGCCACGCCCACTCCCCAATTCTGCCCAGGTGCTGTGTGTCACACAAACAATGTTCGAGCGCGAGGGCAGCGGCAGCACGGTTCCCGGCGTATTCACGGAGCAGGGCGCGACTGCGAAGCAGCAGGCACGGGCCGAGGCAGCGAAGCTGGAGGGCGGCTTCGGGGGCCACGGGGTCGTTTTTGGCATTGCACTGGTTGACGCCGTGAGCAGACATATGGTGGCGGCCCTGGTGCATACAGGCCCGGCTGCGGTCGCTCGGAGCCCTGGCGGCCTTGCTATTTGCCGAATCAAGCGGACACACCTAGGGCTGCGAGTGAGTATAGAGGCAGCAGCGATAGAAGCGGAGCTTTCGGGTCACGAGGATGGTGCCGGCGCTCAACAAGCTGCATGCGGCGGTGCTGACACTGCTGCTGGCAGGGCCAGCAGAGCATGCCTTGCTGTGGGATGCGTCACATTGTGGCAGCAGGGCAGTGGTACCAGGCCGCGGGTTCCGCAAAGCTGCACGAAGACGCTTGTTGTGTTGCTCATGATTCGGTGATGCCGGCAGGGTGCTGTGTGATGTGACAACATACATGTCACGAAACGCAAACTTGCAATGGCTGCAGGGGAGGAGGCTAGAGTTGGCGCCCGCCGCGGGACGCACACAGGCCGGCAGGGGGCGCAAATAATATGCATGGTGCGCCTGGATGACCTTTTCAACCGTCCTCAAGCACTTTGCCAACAGCAACGTAAACCAGCAGGACGCATGGCGAGGTGAGTACATGCACATAACTCAAATCCAAGAAATTGTGTGATCCCTTATGCCTGCGTCTTATGGCGGCGCTGGCAGCGGCGGTTGTGCTCGGCGGCCGCAAACGCGCGCAGGATCCGCCTCGCGCGCCGCCGGTCCCCGCCCTCAAACGCTGCCACCAGCCGCGCCCAGTCCCCCGTTGCAAACGCGCGCCGCTCCTCAATGCCCGTGCGGTAGCCCAGCTGCCGCCCCACCCAGTGCAGCGCCGCTTTCGACCGCCGCCTGCCGTCCGGCAGCTTCCTCAGCTTGATGTGCCATGAGTCACTGCCGTACGCCTCCCACAGGGCCTCCTCCAGGCCCCTCACCGCAAAGAGCACGTCCCAGAAGGGGCTGTTGCCCGCGACACGCGGCGGCGGGTGGGCCAAAGGCTGCCACACCGGTGCCGCCGGCCGCCGGTGTGCATCCGCTGTCGCGGTGGCACGTGCGCCTGTGCCTGCAGATGACGTAGCCTGGTTGTGGGCTGGGGCGCTGGCTGTGGCTTGCGGTGCAGCCTGCACCCCTGCAACCGCTGGCTTCGGGGCAAGGCACTGCTCCTCATGCTGCTGCTCCTGCATCCGCCGCTGCTTCGGCATCTGCTCCTGCTGCTCCTGCTGCTCCTGCTCCTGCTGCTGCTGCTGCATCCGCTGCTGCTCCTGCTGCTGCGGTTGCGTGAGGAGGTGAAAGGGGTCGTGCGGCTGCCGTTGCCCGCGGTCGTAGCGGTCATCGCGCCGCAGCCACGAGCCCCGGCTGCCACAGCCCGCACCCTGCGAGGGCGGCGGCGCCGCTCCGCGGAGGTCAGTGACGCCGGCCGCGCCGCCTGCGGTCGCGGCGTCTTCCTCCACGACACCGCCCCCAGCGCCGGCCTCCTCCTGCTGCGGCCCCTCCTGGACGGCTCCATCCCCCTCCCCCTGCACCCTAAGGGCCCGGCCGGACGACCCGCAAGGACTGTCAGGGCCCTCTGAGTCGGCTGCAGCTACGCCCGCAGCTGCGCCCAGCAGGCTTGCGTCGGGCCGCGGCTGTTGCTCGCGGCACCCTGGAGCTACCTGCTGCTGCTGCTGCCAAGGCCGTGCGTGAGGCGGCTGCAGCGCAAGCGCCCTGGAGGGCGCCTCCTCACTGAACTCGATGGGGTCAAACTCCTCCTCCTGCTCCTGCTCCTGCTCCTCCTGCTCCCGCTGCTGCTGCTGCTGCTGCTCCTGCCTGTGCGGCCGCCGGCGCCGCTGCTTCCGTCCCTGCTGCTCCTTCTCCTGCTCCTCCCCCTCTGCAGCCTCGGCCGACAGCTCGCCACTGTCGCTGCCGCTGCCGCTGTCCGCAGGGCGCTGCGCCGGCTGCTGCCCGCCGAGCGCCGTGCGCATGCCCAGCGCCGCCGCCTCGTTTGCGAGGCGGCCCCGCTGGACCAGGTCTCTCAGCACCCTGGCCTGCGCCCGCGGGGAGAGGCCAGCAGGCAGCAGCCCGCGCTTTGTGGCGATGACGCGCAGCGCCTGGAGCAGAGGGCGGGGTGGAGGACCGGGCGGGGCGACAGGATGCATTCAAAGGATGCCTTAGGATGCGTTGAGATGCATTGAAGGGCTGTGTGGACCGTGGTTGTGTGCTTTCAGGTTGATGCATAACACCCACAGCCTGATCTGTTGGTGTGGTCTGGCCGGGCTGGCAGGATGGACGCAGCCTTCTGGGGTGATCCATGCCGCGCGTCGCCCCGCACACATGCCAAAATGCAAGTGCGTGAACGGCTGGGGGGCACCCACAACACGCCGGGCACGCAAAACATACTGTGCTGGGCGCCCCCAGCCGCCCCA